TGAGCGTGGGAAGGTTCGTGGTCCTGGCTTGTACTCAAGCATCTACCGTCCCGCGTTGACAATCGGAACTCCCCGGTCAGAGCCGCATTGGTCAATGCCATGTGAAGGAATCAGAAAGATTTTTAATCGATTCAATTAACTTTTTATGCCTGACAATGGATGATGCATGGAAATGTAATACGTTTTAAACGTATTTTTGTTGTGTACTTGCAAAGCACAAATGAAACTTTGCATTACAAAAATACACGCAGGACGCGCCACACAGTTGAGGCCTGTAATGCTGCGGCAAAGAACGGCGATTTTTCAACAGAAAAAAGTTTTGTCGGTTCCTGACATTAAAAGAAAAATATTCTTAACAGTTCTGTACAGTAAATTATTTCCCTTGTTTCTTTCTAACGTTGTGTAGCGAGAATCTACTTTTTGAGGGTCTACGGTGCAGAAAAAGTTGTTTATGGCAAAACGTGTCAGTCCGAAGTTAGCACTAGAACCTAAACCACTCGCATGTTTTTCCCTAAAATTGGTATTCCTAGACCGATTAGACCGAACCTGAGGTTCTTTAAGTTTGAAACATTTTGATTTTCGCGGTTACTTTACATCAGCACGAAAGTCATTTTTAATTTTTTTCTCAAAAATTGCTCCTAAAGTTTTGTTTACATCACCCCCCTCAAATAATGTAAAAATCTGTATATAAAAATGGCGCAGGATCCTTTTACAATGAATATTGCAAAACCACATATTGTTTTTTTTTAATTACATTAGTTCAAAATTATATCTTCAAATAAGGTCATGTACAATTTTTTTAAGTAGTGTAGTTTCGCGTAATTTTAGCGGCCCTCGAAATTCCGAATTCGAATTTTAGATGTAAGGCGTTCGATTAATAGATGCGTAAATAAATATATACAACGTTTTCAGCTTCAATTTCATATTTTGAATAAATGGATATTAAGGGTTGTAAGATTCAATGATTGCACTTAATTTTTTTAAATAGGAATTGTCCGGTAATACGAAAACAGTACACGTAGTTGTGGTCTGGGAGATTGAAACACGCGCGTTAAGTGCAAAGGACGTTGGCGGCAGTCCTCCTACAAACCTTAACTTGTGCACGGCAACTGACATGTGTTCTGCTGCCCCGGATGATGGCTTTGGGGTCAGGCAGACCTACATTACTGCAAACCCTAATGTAGTTTTCCCCATTCCAGAGATGAAAAAACCCTAGAATTCGATTTGACCCTAGAAACCACCATCTTAATCCACTTGTCACACAATTATGTGGTAACAGAATCTTCGCCGGTCGTGAAATCTTATGAAATATTGTGTGCACCAGACACAGCTGGACACATGACTGCCTTAGCTCTCAAGACATTCTCTTCTGTATAAATAGACATATTCCATGAAACACAAGGTAGGTAATGAAGATTTGTCAAGAGGAACTAGTATTCTAGAAAGCAATTTTCGTGCCAGTTTATAAAAGGGTGAGTAATGATCGATCACGTTTAAGTTACAGTATTGTTGAACAGACTATAATGACGAAAAGTGTGGTGATGCTCTGCGTTTACCACATTTCCAAGGAGTATACTACATCGGCAGCCAGCAACTGGTGGGCTGTGAAATGTAATTTTAATGGCTCACACAGAAATGCAGATATTAAACATGATCTCGTTTATAGTTTTGAATAAAAAATATTGTTTACTTGGTATTATTGTACAAAGAGAATAAGAACATAACGCATTTGATTTGTCGCAAAATACCAGCTGTCATGCACAATATCTACGTCAAAGGCAGAGTATGCCACTGGTTTGCGAGGAAACCTTGTACTCTTGGAAGTATTTCTTTAAATTTGCCTTATTTTATTAATTTTTCCATGGTCTCTGCAATGTTGCCTGATAAGATCAGATTAAATCAAAATTATGGAATTAGATGGAAGTAAGGAATATAGAAATTAAGGGATGAGTATAATGATTGTAGGGTTATTCTACATACTGACGAATCCAGGGGAGCCATGGCCCCCTGCAAAAGAAAGTTGAGTTTTCGTTTATCTTCCTTTATTTGGCAAACGATTTAAATATTAATGTTCGAATTATGTAATAATAACAATATTCTATCATATCTACAGTACATAGTATACAATATAACAAATCGGTTTATTTTAATAAAAATCTACAATGCCCCCCCCCCCCAAAAAGGCGCGTCAAGCTAGAATATCCATGTTAGCACGCCGGAATGAAACAGTCAATGATGATGCTAATTAATTGCCACAATTTGAAATTACTTGCCAGTTTTTCATTAACAGGGCTCTGCAATAAAGAATTTTTCTGTCAAAAATGCACTGTTGTTCGCGCAGCTCTATTGCGTAAGCTGTAGGAAGAAAGTAAAAATCTTCAACAGCGAAACACAGGGAAAATATAGGGCAAACATGTATTCCGTATTTTCTTGTCTAGCGGACGGGTTTTGCATGTACGCTGTAAAGACATTTTGACACTAGCACATAGCTTTCCTACATTACTACATCTGCTGCTAGGATGACAAAACAGTTTTTCCGAAATTGCATTATCGACTTAAGGAAACCTGGTGACAATTTTGATAACTGAACGGGATGGAGACAAGCAACATCATAGATTCGGAGCGACAGGGACAATGTCGCGCCTGTTGCAACCTTGAGAAGCGTGACAAAGTGGCGAAACAGGCGCAGAGTTCGCCAGATTCCCTGAAGGCAGGTATGAGGAAAAACTCGTTCACTCTATCGTCTCAAGACCCTTCACATTGTGACAGTCCACAGACTGCCGAAATTTAAAAAATAAATTTTCTTCTTAGCCATGTAATCACTTAACGTTCTCTAAAAACCTTTCCGTTTCCGCTTTACACAAACTTCCGCATTTTGCGTTTTTTTTCACGTACATTTTCCGTTCCGAGATTTGTTCGAGATGGCAAGTTTCCGGCTTACAGAGATTCCGTCATGGTCAGGTTTTACTGCATATTTCTTTTTATGTAATTAAAGATTAATCTGATTTTAATACAAAGTTTAATTAAAAATTCTTCTACAATTTGCTACTGGGGCAAACATGTAGAATCAGGGGCAGATCCAGCCATCTTTTTAGGAAGCGATGTGTCAAGCTGGAAGTCTTGTCAGCACTCCGAAATGAAACATGTCGAATGATTTATTGCTAATTATTCGCCAGAGTTTGGAATTAATAGGCAGCGACATTTTTCGACAGAAAAAACTATTACGGGTCCAGGTAATGAAAAACTGGATAAATCTAGTTGCTAAATATAGAAAAAATCCTCTAACACGTGAAGTGGCCAGAATTCATGTTTTGTGGGGCCTTGATACCGAGAAATCGATTGACGGCAAAACGCCCGTCTGTCTATGAACAACGCAAGCGGGTCCGCCTTCCAATCCATCTTCACCAAAATAGATATTCCCAATCGATCTGGCTGATGACGCATCCTCTTAAAATTGAAACCGATATTTTAATTTTGGGGGGTTCTTTACATGAAGCCCCTGGGACATTTCCAAATTTTTCCAACAAATGGCTCGATTGTTTGTGATAATGGTGTCGGAAATACCGTAAATAAGTAGATCTCTTATACATGTTTTCGGAAAAAACTCAGATCAATTCACGAAACTAAACAACTGCCAATTATACACGCTTTATTTTGGTCAATTATAACTTAAGGTATAGTAACTTTGTGTGGATTATACGATTCTATACTAGTACCATTAATTAACACTCAATAAAGGATTATTAAAAGTGTTTATAAAAAAACATCATACCCCACAGAATCTTTATAAAAAGAAACTAATAATTAGATAAAAGATATAAATCAATAAAAGATAAAGTGTTACTTTATTGAAAAATCTATATTACACAATTACGCGTGGTTTCAAGATCAATACTTAAGTATGATTAAAATTAACAGATTACCTAATATATGGCCATCAAGAGTTAACAAAGACTTGTGCCAGAGAAGACATAATTTAGTTGGAATTAAAGCATTTAATGCGTTTATTGATATTTTAAAAACTACTACTGTAAAAAATTAAAACATGACAAAATACCGAGAGCTTTTTCGACTAATCAAGAGAGAAATATTATAAATTCATTTTTTTGTTTACATTAGCTTCCTACATCTTTTTGTTTTTCTACATAGTTTTTTCCCCCACTTAAATTTACTATTTTATATTTAGAAATTTTAAACTGTGAATTTAGAGATCTGCAATATCAATGGTCACCTACTGCTGTATTACCCAACATTCTCATTAATCATGCATTGTCAATAATTCTACTGTCTGTTAAATTCATATGTAAAATTTGGAAGTTCTTTTAAATAATTTTTATTTGTTATTGACCATATATTTGAGGAAAATCTTATCAAAATTAAATCTGATACTTATGTCAGACACCAGATTTAAAATTTTGACAAATGTGCTGCAATGGAAAAACCACACTATGATTTAAATGTAGTGACTTGTGACAGATCAGCAGCGACAAGACTATTCAATCGGGAGCTTCGATACCTAAAATTGAAGTTGTAACAATGCTCCCAAGTGAATAATCACATCCAACCGATGATCTGTCATGTCACCATATTTAAAACTGAGAATAATACAAAAATTAAGGGTCAAGTACATGTAATAGAAGACCATTTTAGGATTAATTGGAAACATTTTTGTCTCTTACAACCCGCTCTTATAAGAGGGAAATGCTCATATTAGTCTACATTATCTGTGCCAAAAATCTTACACTTTACTGTTCTCAACTTGACATATGATGTCAAGTACTTTTTTCCGATTCAATATGAACTTCCTCTTTCATGCCATCACAATCTGAATTTTTAAACACACACACACAAACACCACTCTGAATTGACATGTAGCCTTTTTCACAATGCCCAGACAGACAAAATGACTTGACAATCAAAACAATAGTGAAAAATTCAAAACAAAGACCATATGAAAATAATTTGATAAACCTTTTAACTAGTCAAATGCTGCATAACTCTCACTTTCCTTCTCCAGTCAACATGAAATCATTAGCTTGAATGAGCTCTCCAGTCTACAAACCTGGACAGTTCCATTAACAATATGTAAGACGATTTTTAACAATATCTATTCATGAGATTACGAAGGGATTCTACAATTTTGCTAATGTCAATTTTGGTAATTAATGAAATGAGCTGGTTTTAGTAGCAAATGTCATAAAAAGTGACAGCAAATTTACATTTTTCACAAATTATCTAATTTATTTCTGGGAGGCTATTTCTGCAGTCAGAAATATTTTATCATGACGCCTTTGTCAAAGGTGCTTAGATAGTAAAACCAAATACCGGACTCCCTGTGTGGTACGTTATTGTTAGATTTTCTGGCTCGCTTGTGGGGAAAGAAAAAAAAAACCCCTTCAAACTCAATAATCTGTCAACTAGAGGGAGTTAACATACAAGCTGAAGTGTTATATGTGGAGAAAGAAATGCCCATTATTAATACTTGGGACTCTGAAACAGAGATTCATATCTCTTCTATGTGGGATCACATTTTACAGTTCCTACTAAATGATCCCAATAAAGAAGTAATGGGCATCACAAAACCTCATTTATATTTGATTTATCAGAAGAATACAGAATAGTTTTTTAGCTCAGTCTGTAGTCTCCATAACAAGTTAGAAGAAAAACCTTTCTGACCATATTTCAACATTATAACCTGAATTACAAGCATGGAAAATTAAACAGTGATAAGAGCAACTATGAACCCTAATCCTCAAATGTCACTGAAAGAATAACACTAGTTCTAAACATCATAAGTACAAATTTAGAATTCAAAAGAAATTAACACTCACCATACGTCCCGGACCCAGCCCCCTCACTCGAACTCTCACCGTCTTGAAACCTCTTTCATAAGCTTTCTGGAGAGGGAGAGAGAGAAAAAAGAAATAATGGGTTTTCATTGAATATACCTGAAAAACTGTACTACTAACAAACATTAATAAGACAAATCCTTACCGATCCCAAGGCTATGGCTGTGGCCTGAGCAGCAACATTTGTGCCTTTCCTGGCGTTTTTGAAGCCTTCCAAACCACAAGTCCGGAAAAGTTTAACAACTCCTAAAAAGGAAAGTTTTCTATCATACAAAGAAGTAATACTACATAACAATCATCGTTATATTTAATAATGCATACCTTTTGCATCTGTTACTGAGAACACAGTGTTATTTTTAGTAACACTTATATTGAATATTGGAATTTCACTAAATGGAATGCCATCATACAAAGTAGAAAAAGTGCTTTTATCAGGATATATATTTCCTGCTCTGAAAAACGAAAATAAAGAATGTATCAGTAAGATTAAGTTTACAAATAAATTCCATAAATCTGAACTCTCAGGCAAAGATAAGATTACGTTCTTTGGTGTCTGTAAGACCACTAATTTTGGAATTAATTTAGAGAAAACATGTTATAGCAATCTGTAACTGTATCTGTACAAATAAACTTTCTGAGACACTGAAATATTGAAAACTACCAACTCTGGTACATTCATTTTATCATGCACTAGGAAGGAAATTTTATAACACCCCATATTGCATTACAGAAATTGTTATGCAACTAGAATGAAATTAGAAATTACAAAATCTACACTCCCATCAGTTTAATACTTTCCCAAACATCAATTTCTATTTAATCCTATATCTAACCTATTTAGTGTTTAGAACGCTCAATGCGTACTCTAAAGGAAACAATAATGCATACAGGAGCATCCAAATTAAAATTTAAACGGGGAGAGGGGGAATTCAGGAAAGAAGGATTAAAAATCAGCAAGTTCACCTACTTTCAGATTCTTTCAGGTTCCACCACTAAACGATTGAAGGGCTCACCTGCAAAAGAATTAAATATTTTAAAGAATGCAATTTAAAAGTTTACATATTTAACTTTAATAAAAAATAATGTATATGCTAGTCCTATCTCAAAATAGTGGTACCACACCACATTTTCTTGCTTGTAATATTATAATACTGAACATCTTTCCATATTAACACATCTCACTCAGTCCAGTCCTCACATATAAATTCCAAAAATAGGACCCGGATTTACTTAAAAGACATTTTTATTGAAACTTCAAGTGAATTTTAAAACAATTAATGCACGAATCCAGGTATTGTCGAATACAAAAACATGGTTTTATTGTGCATTTACACATTGGTTTTATTGCGCTTTTAGTACAAGGTCATATTTGGCCAAATTTTTCCCAAAATGCACAAATCTATCTTATTTTTAAGCACACAAAAATAAAAAGTTTGAAAATGTGTCTTGCATGACAATGTATTAGGTATTATCATCACAAACTCAAATTATACCAAAAAGGATTATTTGAAACATATTATTCTGAGTGCTACGATGAACCCCTGAAAGCAAACTTGCATTTCTTTCTTGCCTCTCATACATTATGAAAATTGGAACAATATTGAGCAACATGTGGATGATCTCGAGATACTCATGGGAAGACGACAGCAGGGTTTTCCGTTCTACGTGATTCCCTGGAGAGTTTACAGTTGCTTCATTCTCTCAACGGAGGAAGAAAAGGAGGCGGCTTCCGAAGTATTGGCACACACAGTCACACTATTCAGTCTGATCTGAACACTTCGGTGTGGATCAAAATGCCAAAACAAAACTGCTTCAACAGAATGAAGCCGCAATGTTATATTCGTAATTTTGAAGGAATGTTTTTCAGCAGTAATTGTGAAATATTTTGTAACGTCTGTGAAGTTCAAGCTAGTGCAACAACATTGTAAAACTGCTAAACACACCAGTGTGTGAAGAGAAGTGCAGGAAATGACAGCAGACAAAGACTGTTATTAGAGCAGGTAGGTTATCTAACCTCGCAATTGTTTTTCAAGGACTTGTGTCAAATGATTGTGTCATGCTACCTCCAATGGTAGAAGCTGAAGAATCCAAGCTTCAGAATCTTCTACGAGAAGTACTCAACACATCCCGTTCCAGATGAATCAACATTGAAAAAACATTATTTACCAGTGTGCTATGAAGAGGTGATCAATAAAATACGAACGAGTGTTGCTGACCAAAAGATCTGAGCAGTCATAGATGAAATACCGTTGTGGATGGGCATGATGTTGGCGTTTTAAAAATTAAGAGGTCTATAGAAATTTTCCTCCTAACGTGAGTTCTCGAGAGTAAACAACTTAACAGTTGCTATTTTGTTCGACAATTCTATGAAACTATTGTGGCCAGCTGGTGTGAATAGACGTTTTGTTACTAACGACAGTTGGTGCTTCATACATGGCTAAAGCAGACAAGGGACTGCATACACTCTATCCTGGTCTGATACATGTCACTTGTCTTGCATAAGACATACGCAGAGTTGCAGAAAAAAGCTATCATATTACCCTGATGTGGACATATTACTTTCCTGTGGCAAGAAAATCTTTGTCAAAGTTCTACGAGTGCAGAAATTCAAGGAATAAGCACCTTCAATATCTCCCCCCCCCCAAGCCTGTTCTTACATGTGGGGCTATTGGTTTAATGATGCGGAGTATTATTGCACCAATTACAAGGAAATAAAGAAAATCTGTGTGTTTGATAACCAAGAATCAAGTGCTATCAAAACTGCGAAAAAAGTTTTTTTTAGATACCTTGTCTGGAATCTTGGCATCCATCAATGCCAACTTTTCAGTGGTATCAAAACCCATCACCCGACTAGATGCTGGTACTCAAATGTGTGTCACAGTTCCTACAGCATTTCGTTGTTTTTTATTCAATACGAAAAGAAAAGAAAAAGGCTTCTCAAATGTTGATGCGGCATTGTTGTGAAATTTCTATTAAGCTTTGCGAATTGCTTAAAAAGAAATACATTAACACATTGAGAATAAAAATAGAATAAAAAGTAAAAAAGCAAGAAATTTATGATGATGATGATAATAATAATAATAATAATAACAATAATAATTTTATCGTTTTCAATAGTACATTATAATTAAAATTTCATTAGTTATTTTCCATATCATTCATTCAATTTTTCTTGTGGCAGTTTCGGTTGCTGTGAAACCTGTATGCATTTAATTAATTTCAATCAAAAATTACGGAAAACTACGGGCTAAATAAACAGAGAAGACTTAGTTCTTTTCAAATACATTAACATTTTTCTTTAGGGCACCTGAAAGTTACTTTAATTCTTATTTTAATGTCCTAGTGCATATGGGCCACGCCCCCTTTTTTGACACTGCTTATTAGTATGGCTCTTCCTTTTCTGGTATTTGCTCATATTTTGAATGCATAAAAGGTTGTTATTAAGTAGGGGCGGATTTTGATGACCTAAAACATTAAAATTAATTATCAATAAATGTTCTAAAGGATTTTTTTAATGTCCCAAAAACTACGAAATTTTGATCAAAACCATTTCAGGTGAACAACTAGAGTTGTTGGGTATGGATGTGTAACTGAAGGAATGGTGGATTTTCCTTTCGTTCAAGTGAACACTGCTTGCAACTATGGACTTGGATTATTATTTAAAAGAAAATATGTCATTATTTAACGCGAAATCGGGCGAACTCACAATGGCTCCGATAGGTGCTACAGGAACCTTAGATTATATAGTGCTTACAATGACTGACATTACAAAATATGAGCTAAGAAATCGAAAAGGCTACTCAGGAATTCGGTGATAAACATTAGTTGCACCTCACAAAAATTGTTTGAAGTAGCATTAAAATTATATTAAAATAGATTATATTAGCAAAAAATGACTAAATAGAAATCGACGAAAATAGAAGACAATACATAAAAATGGGTCATTTCGTTTTGTCTTAACATAAAATAAATGAATAAAAAAAGACATTGATCCAAAGTGAAAAGGTAAAGATTGACATTTCATTAAAATCCACCCCTATTAATAAGTTATTGAAACATGCTCTCTTCCATACGTTGGTAGCATTGGTCTTTGGATTTAATTAGGACTTAAAACCTTTTGTTTCGAATTTAATCGTTTAATGTCAACTGGCATGATCTTGTAAAACAATGTACATGTTTTGTATGTGAATTTTTTGTAGAGAGCTGTTGTTACTGTCATCTGATGAATACTACGTCGAGTGTTGTAGTTATCGACATTGGCGTTTGCTGAAAATATATTCCCGCACTTCAGTAAGTCATTTTTGACAAACCACTGATACATATATCAAGAGAAAAAGTGATGGTAAAATAACTAGATTAATAAAGAGAGGCTTACCAGAATCACATGGGTGGGATTTGCTTATTATTCGTACAATTCCTTTTTGTAATCTACAAGTCTGGGAGCTAAAAGATGTATTTCCTGAGAATATTATACCATATCTCTATTGGGAATGAACATTCGCCATATATACATAAACAGCTGAATGGAGGCTGACTGAATTTGAAAGAATTCTGAAAGCGTAGTATAAAGAACATAATTTAAAGTGCAAGTCATTTAAATGGACGTTCCATTTAAGGTTTGGCTGAATTGACAGGCCGAAAGATTTTGTTACCTTAACATCAGTCACTGGCACACTGTTCATTTTCAATGTAGTTCAGAGCTGTTTATTTGAAATAGAAAACTGCATTAAAACCGTTTTCTTTTCATTTACTACTAATTTGTTATTACGAAACCAATGTGAAATATCTTCTATAGTGCTATTTACGGCTTCTTTATTGCAAAGAATACTCGTATCATTCGCAAAGACAACTGTTCTCCCGTTACTAAACGTCGAGGACATATCGTTTACATATAGTAAGACAAAAGGCCTAAAATCGATCCCTGCGGAACTCCACGTGCAATTGGCAAGGAATCCAAAACGTGTGTACATAATGTTCCATTATTCCAGAAAGGTATTTCTACTCTGAGATCGTTGTTTAAGGCACGAACGTAACCAATCTAGAGCAATACCATGAATTCCATACGAAGATAATTTTGAAAGTGAAATGTTATGATCAATGACTTAAAAAGCTTTTGAAAGATCTAAAAATATTCCAATAGATGCTTCGTTTTGATCCATGGATGAGGCGACATCTTTAAGAAAAGAAAATGTGGCCTTTTCCGTACATTTTGATTTTCGAAAACCATGTTGGCAATCTGAAAAAGCGTCATGTTTACTGAGAAAGGTTTCCATTCGTACGTCAAAAGTCTAATATTTTTTGAAAAACCAACATAAGAGAAATTGGCCGATCATTTTTAAATTTAATTTTTGTTGAAGCGACTTTATCTTAGCTGTTTTAAAATTTTCTGGAAAAATTTTTGTGCGTAAGGATACATTAAATGTCAGATAGCGGGTGTACAATGGCGGGCGCA